CTCTGCTGAGAGCCCTGTGGATGAAGTCTGCTGCTGCCCTGAAGTTGACGCTCATGTCAAAGCCACAGGAGTCATGAGCCTCTATGCCCATGTATGTGATCTCCATGCACTCGTAGATGTCTGGCTGCACCCCCCGTTTGCTGTGAGCTGCGTTCAGGATGTGTGTGACTCGATGCTTGGTGAGATCGGCCCGGTTCTCTGCACTGTTCCTGAAAAGCGCAAAACTCTGAATTCACATATAACAGGTCGAATATACAGACAAACAGAGCAGGTGTTTCTCGAGGAAACACATGCATGTAAAGTATTTCATAGTGATAATTGATATTTAAAAGACAATTCCAGACATGCAAGTTGGAATCATGCATGACCGAGACATGCTTTCATGCCAACACATCAGTGGAAACTCTCACATAGCATAACTGTAGTTTACGCATGCTCCCAATGCGGAATGCAACATGGGGGGGTCTTAACTAACTCATACCCCATTTAAATCTGATTTATGATCTGTTCCTCTTACGCCTATGTGGACTGTATCAAACTCTAGACTTGGGTCATATTTGTTGAAATGTCTCACACACGATATTTTGAAAAATATAGTACACAGCAAAAAGTTACAAGGACATGCTCCACTTTAGTGAGGCAATCGGCTGGATAAAAAGTGAGTAACTTACTGGTCACCGATATAAAGCCTTGGCCACACTTCGTCTGCATGGCTGATGATTGCTTTGCCTGTAAACAAGAGTCTTTCCAACTCAAACACTGCCAATCCAGGTGAACTCAGGTCAATTTCCACCTTCCGATGGGGAGGCGTATCATTCCAGGACACGGGAAGTTTGGATGTGTAGGACATCAGATTTTCTGTGTGCTTCTCTTAGCACAGGGTTTTCTATGAGGCAACTTCTGGTCCTTTAAAAGTACGTTACAAAAAGTCAAAAAGAAAAAACGTACATGCAGTTTGAGGCCACGTCTATCAGAGGAAAATACAGTTTTTCCAACAGGCTTTTTAAAACCACTGTGTCAAACTACCAGCACAAATGACCCAGGTGATTCTAGGCTCCGGCTTCTTTGCCTCAGATGTACTCGGCACAGGGTGCTCTAAGGTTTGTCAGGCCATTTGACCCTCACATTAAATCTATCCCGAGCCCCACGCCCATGGGGGCCTGGGTTGTGCTTTTGCATTAAAATAGCTGTCTATTTAAAGGCCTGTGTGCTGAGTGGCAGATGGAGTGAGTTTGGACCCATGCCGCAGTTTCCACTCGACAACCAAAACCAGGCTATTTTTCAATTCTTTAAAGAAGCAATATACATTTTTGTCTTTAACGTTTATAATTACAAATAAATGTTGATAGTACATAGATTGCTTCAGAATAATGACCCCTTGCATTTTGACTGGTTGCATTTTAGCCTTGCCTTCCCTATACAAATCTGTCCTTGCTTGGTGCGATTTACTGGGAGAATAAAGGCTTTAACGTCAAAAAGGAATCCTGTATTGTACAACTGCAACAGGAAAGGGATTGCGATTGAGTTTTCCTTGGTAGTAAACCCGTGTTAGGTTATTAGCAGTAATTATCCCCTGAAATGGAAAGGGTGGATAGTGGAATAACTGAAGTAACAGTTGACTTTGCGACTGTGGTGATGGCACTAACACCATTTGAAAAGACTAGCAGGGGGAGTGATGAGAAGTCTGTTTCCACTTTTAAAATGTTGTTTCCATTTCCACTTAAGTATGAAACTGGCTTTTATCAATTGCCATTTTTAATATAGAGCTAAATATGTCTTAAATTCGCTCTGTAACGTCTATCTTTGAACAATAATAAACAGCGAGAAAGATAATAAATTCATTTGATCACAGTTTAGAAAATATATTGACATTTAATTATTTCTCTGTTATTTTCTCAATTTCAATACTTGTCAGGCAAGGATTTCCATCTTGTGTTGGAAACATGCATTACATCTGAAACTGTACAGTTGTGCTCCATAAAACATAACAGCACAGGAAAATGAACACATATGACAGGTGTTTTTTTTCATGCAAAGCTTGTCATCTTAATTTTATTTTTTTTCTAATTATATAAAACCATCCCCTGAAATATGGCACTCCTTTTTTTCTAAATCAACACATCAAGATGATTGAAAAAAAAAAAGAGAGTCTACTCTACACAAGAAAACTAATAATTGTGGAAAACAGGATATTGGTGCGGCAGTAAACAGAAACAAAGTGCTGCGATCAATATTGTCCTTAAGCAAAAAACATTACTGAAAATGTTTATCCTTTCCTTTATCTTTTACAGCAAAATATTGAACACATAATCCTGAAAATACAATTAACTTTCCTATAGTTATTTATATATTCCAAGTGTTCCAAATGTATCAGTTTTTCAAGTAGTTCTTAAAGTGTTCCTTATGTATCTGTAATAACAGTAGTTCCTAGAGTAAAATACATGGCATTCATATATAGGTTGGATTCTAGGTCCGCAGGTAGGAGGACATTTCATCCAAAATCTGGAATAATAGGGACAGCAATCTTCAGATAGTGCATGCAGGGCTGGGAGCACTATGGACAACTAACTGTTTAGCCTCTATCAGGGTTGGAGACATATCATGCAAACGGACTATGAGATGTAATAATAGACGGGGAATGAAGTTCTTAGATGTAGGATCGGACCCACCCACAATCCTGAGGGACAGCATGAAAATGTGAAGACATTCATCTCTCTGTCACTCAGCCCTGCATTATGCTGGCAAAGGCATGACATTACAGAAAAAGCTGAGTAAGAGTGTCAGGTTGTGTGTCCAGCAGAGTCACTCACTGAGATTCAAAGTCACTTATAATATGTACAACTTTATTATCATGGTTGTGGAAAAACCCTCAGAGAGAAGAATAGAGAAGAGTAGACCTTCATTGTGTCCATGGAAGATCTGGAAGAGGAAAACAGCAAGACTTAGACACCGACAAACCAGTAAATAAGTCCAGTTCAGAAGGCTTTCTTCTCCAGCTGGTCCAATATGGCCTGGATCTTCTGCACAGCGTCCTTTCGGGCTTGCCGGACAGTCTCCTGTCCTTGAGTCTCCACAGAGTCCAGCAGCAGCAGCTCTTTGGTCAGCAGCTCCTCCAGAACACGATAACTCTTGTCCGACTTTCTGCCAACAAACTCATCCACGTCTTCCTGCAGCAGCATCATTCTGGCCATGACCAGCTGGACCTTGGCGAGGCTGGGGTTATCGCTCAGGGGTTGGGGTCCGGCCCGGCCTGGAGCTGGGGCCGGGGCCGGGGCCGGGGCCGGGCCGGGGCCGGGGCCGGGGCCGGGGCCGGGGCTCCTTGAGGTCCCTCTCCCGTTGTTTCGGCCATGTCTCAACAGCCGTCCAATCAAAACACGAAAAACTTCTTCTTCTTGGGATTTGTTCATTCCAGCAGAACAGACTACACGAGGTGCGTTGCTGCCAGCCACAGCCATGGATGTATAATAATGGCGCAGTTCCACTGCAGCGCGGAGCTCGCTTTAAGCGTGCCGTGTCGTGCCGTCCCCTTTTTTGGTTGTGCTTCCACTAGGCCTAGTCCCGGCGCGGCACGGCGCGGGGCCACTTTTTCACCTCTTTTCTGGCCCTAGAAAATTGTGGTTCTATCGGGGCCAACAAACAGGGCTGAGTCGGGCTGAGTATGCTAAACTAGAGAGAGGAGCGCTGGCAAGAGGGCTAGAACTACAACAAGATGGACATATTTGACCGTGATTTAATTGTAATACACGTTTCAAAATGATGCCGAAGTAACAACATACTGATACCAGTTAGTAAAAACCATGAATTAATGCTTTGTCAAGTCTGCAGACAGACGGCAGGCGAAAAACCTTTTAAAATGCGTGTTTTTCTAGATGGAGATTGGCTAAGCTAACGCAGTATATGCTCTGACCGTCCACACTCACAACAACGGCCTATACAGACATAAATAAAGCAGCGACTGTATTCACCATGACACAGGCAGTCTGTGGTTTGTACTTGTTTAACTTTTGTCGAGTTTCTGAACATATATAAGGAGCTGTGAGCTCTGAGTGCTAACAGCTAACGGCTGTGTTGTGTTTCTGGAGTTCTCAATGAAGATGACGTCACGGCTCCGCCTACACTGCGTTACTATAGTAACTACCCCAGTTCCTAAACTGTAATGGAAGCGCAGCATGAAGTGAGTCGGCCCTGTTAAGGCCCAACGCGGCCAAGCCGTACCGAGCCGTACCGAGTGTGGCCGAGGCTGACCGTGTAGTGGAAATGCGCCATTAGAAGCCCCACGAGGAGACTACAGGCAAACAATTGAATTGATGGAGGAAATAAATTGGCTACTTAGATATTTTTACAATTTAAACATTTAAAAAGTAGAATGCCACAGAGTACAAATACTCACTTACAAGCAAAAATACTGAATTCAAAAATATTACCCAAGTTAAAGCAGAATTAGAATTAGAATTAAAATATACTTATAGTACAAACACAACATAACAATACAGTACTTAGTTAATTTGTAATACTATTGCGAACTACTGTAAAAGCATGTAAAAATACACACTTAGTTGTTAATTGTATGTATTCATTTATATGTTTTTTATTTGTACGAGTCTATAGATTCGTCCTAAATTCACCAATAATTTGCATTAAATATGCCTAATTCATAATGAATCTATTTTTTGTATTATTTTCTTAACAATAAATATCCTCTTCAGTAGCACATACCCCACATGTATTAAACATCTTAGAAAAAAGGGTTAATATATATATGAGAGAAATATATAAATAAGTGTTCTGCCATGAAAACATGGGTTGTTTTTTTAGGAAGAAACTGCAGAAAAGATAGTTAGAGCATAAACTAATAAATAATCTACAAAGTCTCTGATTTTATTGCATGTGTAATAAAAGCTGATAGCTGTTACTAATATTTTCATCCCAGCCTAATTTGACCTTCACAAACTAGAACAAATACTCTTTGTTTCTGCAACACAAAATAAAGATCAAAGAACAACATTTTTTTTAGGGTTTTTTATATGTGATGTCACTGCTGTGCTCAAGCAAATACAAATCTGCTTATCCCATCAGATTTTCGGGTTGATGATCTTGCCCAAGAAAAGGATGTTTTCTGTGATGCGTTCAACAATGGTAACCATAAATGGACGATTGAACTTCAAGACAGGGATATTCTGGAAGGCCATATCTGTGATCTCGAAGTCTGTGGCTGCTGCAGCGGTGGCTCCGGCCTCACCGACATCAAGGGTGGCTTGGTGCACAACCTGCAGTGAAACAGAGATAAAGTTAGATGGGTGGAATGTAGGGAAGAAAATGTGTGTGAAATATGTGATCTTACGTCTGAGACTGCCAGTTTTTGCCCCTCTGAAATGCCACTCAAATCTGCAAGATCACTAAACATGTCGGTCATTCCCATTGAGATCAGCATATCGTTCAGTGTGTAGGAGGTCTTGATGGAGAACTTTGGAATAAAGACATCATATCTCCTAAAATAAAATAAGAAATAGGCAAACAATAAGTTATGATCTGACAGAAATAACTGATCTACCAGGACACAGCTGAGTTTTTTACAGTGTCAAACCTTCCATGTTAGAAACCAAGAAATTGATGATGATTTTAGATTTGTCCAAACCTTTGACTCATCCCCTTCAGCCATTTGGTGACATGCCCTGGGCAAATGGTCGACTCCAGCGTTGCCATGTCGTCAGGCAACATCAGCAGCATGGAGTAGGTGCTGTTGAAGGGCAAGTGGAGGACTGACGTGCTGATTGCCTGGTCGTAATAGGAATCAAAAGTGTCCTCCATATTCATCATCTGGACTGCAACCTGGGAAAATATCAAACATGAGGTGTCTGGATCAGAAAAGACACGCATACAAGGATGCTCAATTATTTATATTTACTGAGACTCAAAACCATTCTGGCTAAATGCTGCATCTTTGAACCTTGTTGTTGTCATCCACATTGAAGATATCCTCCTTGGTTAGCATAGCATCAAATGGAGTCACCCAATTTCCTGTTGGATGATGAGCAGGTAGTAAAACAAATGTTGTGGTTAACATTTTAACCAGTAATAAAGGGTTTAAAAGAGGATATTTTGGGGAAAATAATATTTTTGCGATGTTTTTAGGAATCACATAGACCAGGCTATAACTAAGAACAAACCCCTCTGTTAAAACCTTCAGAATATAGATCGGAGTAAAACTTTGGTGTACGTAATTGCTAGTGAAATGGAGATTTCTGGCTCAAAGTATGACAAAAAATCATCTAGAGTTTACTGCCTTCAAAGAGACAAAGTGTAAGCATAAGTCGCAAGACACTAAGAGTGAATAGCGTAAAAAATACTAAAATAAACAATGTCACTTTGGAATCAACAAGACATCTTTTTCTAAAAATGTTGTATTTGATTATTCACATTCATGATAAAGTCTAAATGGATTCAGGAGAAATCTACAGATGCAAAAGTTAGTAAAATGAATAAATAATAAATAAATGTGGATTTTTGTGTGAAAGCAAAACAGCCCTGAATGAATAGATTGAAAAATGCTGTTTTGCTTCGGGGTTGCAGCTCTAAATGTGTAAAAAAAAACAAAAAAAACAGATCTGCTTCTTCTTCTCATGAAACCTGATACCTTTGTAGTAGATGTAGCTGATGAGATACATGACTGTGCTTTGATCCAAGCTCTCGACAAGTTTCTCTATCTTCCCGTTGGTCTTGTCCTCCACATACTTATTGATGGTATTGGCACTTTCTGCGGTTTGGGTGAAGTCGACATTGAACCCCTCTGCAAAGTAAGACTGCTTCAAGGTCTCCAGGAACTCAGGCTTTGGCTTGAGGCGGTTGTCTATAAATACAGCAGTCCCTTCGCTGACTTCTTTCTGAGATGGGCTGTTTGTCTCTTCTAGAAGTTTATGGAAAGCTTGATTAACTTCTTCCTGTGTCAAGAGGGTGCTGTTGAAACCTAAGCCGCTGAATATCTGACTGTGGGTCATACTCCGTGCTCCTACGGACAAGGCAGCCAAGGCGTGAGACACACTGATTGGGGAGAAGAAGATGTTCTTTCCCGCTGAGTCATTATGAGCTGCTAACTTGCTGTACAATTCAAAGGAGAACTGTTTGTTTGCTGAATTCACTAGAGAGAGGCTGGCGGCGCTGGGTTCAGGTCCAGTGTTCTGGTCTCCCTGACTGTGGCCATAATGGTGATCTCCTCTCCCCACGCAGATCACTGCTGATAAGATCCATATCCCCAAGGCGGCATGCATCATTGTGAACTAAGACCAAAGTTAAAAAGTACATTGTTAATTTGGATTACACAATATTTGCTGCTGGGAGGGGGGGGGGGGGTTCTGCCTCTTTAGCAGGCGTCCCTCCAGAGTTCAAAACTGACCTTTGCGGCCTGTCTTCCCCTCTATGTCCCCCATTAATATCTACAATCCAATAGCAAGGCAAAGAAGAAGACATTTTTTGAGAAACACTAGTCGACTGATTTTCCTAGAAGCTACATTAAAGGGGACCTATCATGCAAAATGCACTTTTGTACGTCTTTTATACATGAATATGTGTCCCCGGTGTGTCAGGGAACTCACCAAGTGTCAGAAAACACAACCCTCTCTCTTTTCCTCCATACCCAAATCTCTAAAAACGGGGCTGCAACGGAGCTGATTATTATTTGAATTTTTCTGACATCAGAAAAGGGGTGCTCCGCCTATATGGGCAACTCTCCACCTATCAGGGGAATGAGAGACTGCTCGAAAGCGCTGGAGACGCTGTAGTACATATGCCAGGCCTGTAAGTGGCGCTGTAGTCTGCCACAAAAGTAGAATCAGCCCTTGCAAAAACAGGGCTGGAAAAGAGCAAATAGAGCGAAATGAGGCATGGCTAAAATGCATGATCTGTTTGGTATTTTGAAAAAAAAACTTCACAGACATGTTTTATATAGGTATGGCCCTACAATATATGTTTCAAATATAGCATGATAGGTCCACTTTAAAGATATTGTTTTAAAGGCCTTACACATATTTTCCTAACCCTCTAATGACACAGAAGAGGTTCCTACTGTACACGCCATGTTTAGCAAATTCTTTGCATTGTTTTTTAAATTGGTTTTGACAATACTGGTTTATTTAGAAAGCAGATGTCATGTGTGTCTGTGCACCAATCAGGGCTTAAAACACGTTTAAATTAGAATATTTTTATTTTATTAGAATCTAATAAGTAGGTGGGTTGTTCAGTTACTGTCAATGACATTTGATTTACAACAACACAGAAAATGTGTAGATTTTTCTGATTGTTAAACTCATTGACATTATACATGAAACTCTTGATAAATAGTACTTAAATTAGATAGTTTTTAAAATTCCCGAATTTAAAATAATACATCAAAAGAGGGATACAAATAGTCATTTTTAACAACTCTACATTTACATTTGAAACATGTTGCAGATGTTAAATATTTTCAATTCCGGTGTACACAGGGACATCTCACACATAGTGTCATACATAGTTTTTCACTTTTGAAAGAGTATTCAAACGTGTGTTTACATAAACATGTTATATGAGCTCTCTGAATCTTTTTACTTACCTTCTCCTGGTTGAAGCAGAGGGAAGCACAGGCAGGTCAGAGGGAGACTTCCCTTTTATAAGACTGATCAGAGCTGCTGAACTTTGTCTTTGTTTATTCATCATCTCAACCTCATATTTGCTCTGCTCCCAAATTTGCTCTGTGTAGCAGTAAGTCTGTGTAATGATTACTATTACTGACTAACCATGGAATCAAACTGCACGGATAAAAGCACAAGTCAAGCTACCACTGTCATCAGCATGTACAAAAATATGTTAGTGATAAGTGCCTATTTTCGCACTCCCCTGTTAATTAGTGAACCGACATAAGTTACATCTTTATTCAAACTATTATAGGTCGTACTTTGGCGTCAAAGAGTAGCAGTATGAGCAAAAGTGCGAGAATACCATCTTAGCAATCATTCTGTGATACTTGCACCTAACAAGAACATTTCTTTTGCATATGCCCTATACATAAAAAATCAGATCTCTGAAAACTAAAGCAAAGCTTCCCTCTCAGAGGACATAAACAAAGCAGATTGAAGCCAAAAAAGACAAGCAGAATCAAACAGAGCCTGAGGTAACTGATGGCATTTAAAAGCTGATCAAGAAAATTAAGCCTTGCCCATAAAAGAAAAAAGCAGGGATTAAATCAGTTCAGAATGCAACAAGAGGCAGCTCAACAGATGCTGAAAAGATTAGTACTATCTCTGAAACTCATTGAAACAGAAACATATGGAAACATGTCTCACAACTAGTCTCTCAGAATAGACACTTTGCACACATGGACTTGTAAAGAAACTGCTTTTTTTAATAAAATATGTATTTGATGTGATATTGTTTCTGTAGCACCGATTGTCTGCAAGACATTTAAAAAAAAAAACACACACAATTCATTAACATGTACAAATTGACAGAATATATATAAATAGTAGTACTAGAAGTGCTTTTAAATCAGTGTATCTCAAAATATAATAATACGCGGCACACTTGAGCTTTCTTTACCATGTTATTTCCCTCATGTTCTGGATCTGCTCAACATGCTACCCAGCAGCGTTCAGTGTTTGCCAAAGAGCTGGCCGTCCAGTCTGATGAGCTGTCGGAGGAAACCTCGATTAGGGATGACCACCCGGTTTTGTTTCACCGCACAAATGGCCTCCACGAGGCTCAGGTTGTGCTTCAGCATCAGGTAAGCCAGGACCAGGGTGGCAGAGCGGCTCACTCCTACATGGCAGTGCACCAACACTTTGCCTGGGAAACATAGAAACATAGCAATGAGGGCTGGGCCATATCATATCTATACTTTATCAATATGGTGAAATTAGATATTGTTTCATATTTTGGATTATTGTAAGTGTTGTCTTATCCTAAATTGAAAGGCTAAATTACAGTAAAGTGACTTAATTTTCTTGATTGACCAAACTCTTGTATTATTTGGCTCCACCCACTTATCATTTTATTTATAAAAATTGTAATTGTGTAAAGAATTTGTGAAATCATGAATGGTTGGCCCAACAATACTGTCACAATAAAGATATAAAGTATTTGGTAAATAGAAAAGACTTGATATAAACTGAGGTGAAGCTAAGAAGCTAAGAAGTCCTGCATCCTGTGTGTCTCTGTGAGCTTAAAAGAAACACATTTGTTTCTTGAAACAAAGTAGAAAGGGATTAGCGGAGAAATCATGATAGGAGTACAATCTATAATTTAAGTGATGATTTTTGTGAGTTTCTTAAGCTACTCTGCAGACCAGATCAGTGTATTGTAGTCTTTTAGATCTACAGTTAACCTATTCATGTCTCATTTGTGTGGAATCAGTTTAACTGTATATTTCGGCTAATAATCTGAAACCATTTTGCCAGTTGAAGATTATTTTTATTAGACAACTGCCTTTTAAATTAATGTTCTACCCCTCCCCTCACCTCCTCTGCTGAGAGCCCTGTGGATGAAGTCTGCTGCTGCCCTGAAGTTGACGCTCATGTCAAAGCCACAGGAGTCATGAGCCTCTATGCCCATGTATGTGATCTCCATGCACTCGTAGATGTCTGGCTGCACCCCCCGTTTGCTGTGAGCTGCATTCAGGATGTGTGTGACTCGATGCTTGGTGAGATCGGCCCGGTTCTCTGCACTGTTCCTGAAAAGCGCAAAACTCTGAATTCACATATAACAGGTCGAATATACAGACAAACAGAGCAGGTGTTTCTCGAGGAAACACATGCATGTAAAGTATTTCATAGTGATAATTGATATTTAAAAGACAATTCCAGACATGCAAGTTGGAATCATGCATGACCGAGACATGCTTTCATGCCAACACATCAGTGGAAACTCTCACATAGCATAACTGTAGTTTACGCATGCTCCCAATGCGGAATGCAACATGGGGTGGTCTTAACTAACTCATACCCCATTTAAATCTGATTTATGATCTGTTCCTCTTACGCCTATGTGGACTGTATCAAACTCTAGACTTGGGTCATATTTGTTGAAATGTCTCACACACGATATTTTGAAAAATATAGTAGGCTACACAGCAAAAAGTTACAAGGACATGCTCCACTTTAGTGAGGCAATCGGCTGGATAAAAAGTGAGTAACTTACTGGTCACCGATATAAAGCCTTGGCCACACTTCGTCTGCATGGCTGATGATTGCTTTGCCTGTAAACAAGAGTCTTTCCAACTCAAACACCGCCAATCCAGGTGAACTCAGGTCAATTTCCACCTTCCGAGGGGGAGGCGTATCATTCCAGGACACGGGAAGTTTGGATGTGTAGGACATCAGATTTTCTGTGTGCTTCTCTTAGCACAGGGTTTTCTATGAGGCAACTTCTGGTCCTTTAAAAGTACGTTACAAAAAGTAAAAAAGAAAAAACGTACATGCAGTTTGAGGCCACGTCTATCAGAGGAAAATACAGTTTTTCCAACAGGCTTTTTAAAACCACTGCGTCAAACTACCAGCACAAATGACCCAGGTGATTCTAGGCTCCGGCTTCTTTGCCTCAGATGTACTCGGCACAGGGTGCTCTAAGGTTTGTCAGGCCATTTGACCCTCACATTAAATCTATCCCGAGCCCCACGCCCCTGGGGGCCTGTGTTGTGCTTTTGCATTAAAATAGCTGTCTATTTAAAGGCCTGTGTGCTGAGTGGCAGATGGAGTGAGTTTGGACCCATGCAGCAGTTTCCACTCGACAACCAAAACCAGGCTATTTTTCAATTCTTTAAAGAAGCAATATACCTTTTTGTCTTCAACGTTTATATTATAATTACTAATAAATGTTGATAGTACATAGATTGCTTCAGAATAATGACCCCTTGCATTTTGACTGGTTGCATTTTAGCCTTGCCTTCCCTATACAAATCTGTCTTTGCTTGGTGCGATTTACTGGGAGAATAAAGGCTTTAACGTCAAAAAGGAATCCTGTATTGTACAACTGCAACAGGAAAGGGATTGCGATTGAGTTTTCCCTGGTAGTAAACCCGTGTTAGGTTATTAGCAGTAATTATCCCCTGAAATGGAAAGGGTGGATAGTGGAATAACTGAAGTAACAGTTGACTTTGCGACTGTGGTGATGGCACTAACACCATTTGAAAAGACTAGCAGGGGGAGTGATGAGAAGTCTGTTTCCACTTTTAAAATGTTGTTTCCATTTCTTTTTAAGTATGAAAGTGGCTTTTATCAATTGCCATTTTTAATATAGAGCTAAATATTTCTTAAATTTGCTCTGTAACGTCTATCTTTGAACAATAATAAACAGCGAGAAAGATAATAAATTCATTTGATCACAGTTTAGAAAATATATTGACATTTAATTATTTCTCTGTTATTTTCTCAATTTCAATACTTGTCAGGCAAGGATTTCCATCTTGTGTTGGAAACATGCATTACATCTGAAACTGTACAGTTGTGCTCCATAAAACATAACAGCACAGGAAAATGAACACATATGACAGGTGTTTTTTTTCATGCAAAGCTTGTCATCTTCATTTTATTTTTTTTCTAATTATATAAAACCATCCCCTGAAATATGACACTCCTTTTTTTCTAAATCAACACATCAAGATGATTGAAAAAAGTCTACTCTACACAAAAAAACGAATAATTGTGGAAAACAGGATATTGGTGCGGCAGTAAACAGAAACAAAGTCCAAATCAAACACTTTTTACTCACAAGTGCTGCGATCAATATTGTCCTTAAGCAAAAAACATTACTGAAAAAGTTTATCCTTTCCTTTATCTTTTACAGCAAAATATTTAACACTTAATCCTGAAAATACAATTAACTTTCCTATAGTTATTTATATATATATATATATATATATTCCAAGTGTTCCAAAAGGGATTAAAATAACTATTTATCAGTTTTTCAAGTAGTTCTTAAAGTGTTCCTTATGTATCTGTAATAACAGTAGTTCCTAGAGTAAAATACATGGCATTCATATATAGGTTGGATTTTAGGTCCGCAGGTAGGAGGACATTTCATCCAAAATCTGGAATAATAGGGACAGCGATCTTTAGAGGGTTTTCATTAATCTGCTACGCTCCATGTCCGGTCATTTTCTTTTAGATGTCATGAGTGTATTTAATGTTTGTCGGACTTTATAGTGCATGCAGGGCTGGGAGCACTATTTAACAAAGAAAAGCGTTGCACGTCTTCCTGCAGAGACATGGGACTATGGACAACTAACTGTTTGGCCTCTATCAGGGTTGGAGACATATCATGCAAACGGACTATGAGATGTAATAATAGACGGGGAATGAAGTTCTTAGATGTAGGATCGGACCCACCCACAATCCTGAGGGACAGCATGAAAATGTGAAGACATTCATCTCTCTGTCACTCAGCCCTGCATTATGCTGGCAAAGGCATGACATTACAGAAAAAGCAGAGTAAGAGTGTCAGGTTGTGTGTCCAGCAGAGTCACTCACTGAGATTCAAAGTCACTTATGATATGTACAACCGTCAGTCTGCACTTCTAACACAATTATACCAGTGTTATCAGGCTTTGCAAGGTTGATTCCGTTTCATTTTGCCAGTTATTTCAGGCATTTTATATCATGGTTGTGGAAAAACCCTCAGAGAGAAGAATAGAGAAGAGTAGACCTTCATTGTGTCCATGGAAGATCTGGAAGAGGAAAACAGCAAGACTTAGACAC